CAATGTTGGTGACGTTTTCTGATTTCATGTACCTTTGACAAAAAAATCAGCTTTAGATAAGAAAAATACAGGACAGATAAAGTGTAATGTTGTGTATAAAACTTTAAAGCACTTAAGAATTTAAATTACAGATGGCTTATTGTTTTTTATTCGGTTTTGTCAATCAGCTGTCCGAATACTAACGAGAAAAATCTTATATTTTCCGTGTAGACGGGTAACATACTAATGTTGTTCTTTGAGTATTCCTCCTATTTTCGGTTACTTATAAGTATATGAAACATAACAAGCTATACCATGTGGAAGAGTAAAATTAGGGCTTTGGGATGACATGTGTTTAAGACGGAAAAAACGCAATTTTTGGACTGAGTAGACCTTGAAAGAAGTCATTATTGATTGTAGACATCACTGATAAATATCACTCACTTACGGCACAACAGTTCATAGTCCATGTATAGCGAGATATTTATGTTATCAAATTCAGGATAGCGCATATCCTTTTGTAAAACAAGTTTGGAAAACTCTTTGAAAGCAAAGAAATCCAATGGAAAAGAGCAAATCCCATGAATACTTCGACATCATTACCAAAAACCTAGCCCGAAGTACACTGTCACAACAACGTTTAAAAAAAACTGTTGTATAAAGAAATTATCAATATTGAGTAAAACTCTGCAAAACATTTCATGTAGTCAGAAAATGTAACATGTCTCCTAATCTATAACATTTGAACAGCATTTATTCAGACGTCAATCTCATTTTTAGCATTAAACCAAAAAATACTAGGTATATGAATTCTCAAAGGGATCCCGTCACAAAACTTTTAACCAACGTTTAAGGTTAGTAATTCCGGGGTAGGTTACAGAAAACAATGTAAAATAATGTGTTAAACATTTTAGAACGGAGAAATGAAACCAGTATGATAAATTCCAAATAAAAATGAAAATATTCAATGCATTCATTTATACTTTTATCGATTAGTATCGAATATCAATGCGTTGAAAGGGTGTCTACCAAAATGTCACAATGTTAGCGTCTTCATTTTTGCTTTGAATTATGAAGGGCAAGTTATTATAAATCTTCAAAAAAGAGTGAAAACAACATCAGTTGTTTGAAAAAAAATATCATAATATCAAATTCCTTTGCAAAAGGAACCTTTCGATATATTTGAAATAAAGATTAATGCATAAATCATCAAAATAAAGTGGTCACATGGTGGTCTACCAAAATGTCACAGCATCTCTAATTTGACGTTTTTGACGTTAACTATATATAGGCAACGTATGTTCGCATTATGGTGTATTATTATGTATTTGTAACGTATCTATTCTAATAAAAGAATACCTAATATATGAAATTAGAATATATATTTTTCATTTCACCTCGTTGAAATGGTTCCTTTTTTCAATATAACATTTATTTTAATAAAACGTGATATGGGTACATTTCAATGAGACAGCAACTCAATACATATTTACTAAAATCTTCCAATTACCAAAGTAGAAATCAAATATTACTTACATCATATACAAAATGTAAGTATAATATTCATATTAATTCAAATGTTGATCGTTTTAACTTATAATAAATTAAGCCAAACTTGGGTACAACTGCAATAAATCAAATTCGGATTTTGTTTAATAACTATACCAAGTTACAGTAAAATTACAAAAAAAAAAAATGTAATAAGAGATATATTCCATACATATTTGTTAGTATACAAATAGGCTAAACTCAGTACAGTGACCGTTTCCTTTGTGGATCGGAGCTGGAACTGCCGGGGAATTTGCAAATAGGCTTACGGTACATATCGAGTTAACATCGGTAAAATGCGTGTGGGAATACTATTGTTCATTTATATATACGAAACATTTTTTAAAATTTTTTATGAGTTAAACTAATGAAAAAAAAATCAGTGAGACAACACCTAACTTTGCCCCTTACTTTCAAATAGTTGCCTAAATATCTTCAAAGTTAAATTACAAAAATACTGAACTCCGAGGAAAATTCAAAACGGATAGTCCCTAATCAAATGGCAAAATCAAAAGCACAAACACATCAAACGAATGGACAATATTGGTGTCACTTTTTGTAACGTCGAATGTTAACGTAAAAAGCATATATACATATTGATGTGTTGTAATATTGCGTTTCAGTATATCTTTTTTATACATTGTTTTATGTGATTAAAACAAGATATAGGTATACAGTTTGTGTTCTGTAGTAAACAGAAATGTATAGAATACGTATTGTGTTCTTTGAATGAAAGAATATGTGGGATATACCGTGTGAGTACATGGCCATAAGAATTCGTCACTTACAATATTTTGCTATACATTTCGTATAAATCGATGTGTTTTTTTCAAAAAAATATTGAGAGGCCATTTCTGGTTGGATCATGGTTATAGAATAAAGGCAAAAAGAACGTACTTCTTCCATTGAGTCAGAACACTAACAATTGTGGAACTATAATATAGACATGGATAAACTATATTTACGCACATTAAAGTTCCATACATTGAAAACACAGGTTATTGTCTGGAAACTGGAAAAATGCTTCTTTTTGGCCCTTTTTGGCCCGTAATTCCTACATGTTTGGGGCAATTAACCCCAAACTCAATCCCAGCCTTCTCTTTGTTATATGGAACCTTGTGGTTCAATGTCAGAGAGATCCGTACACTTACACACAAGTTATTGTCTGGAAACTAGAAAAATGCCTGGGTTTTTTTTTGCCCCTTTTTGGCCCTTTATTCCTAAACTGTTGGCCCCATAACCCCTAAAATCAATCCCAACCTTCTACTTGTGGTATTAAACATTGTGGTACAATTTCAGAGCAATCGAAATACTTATACACAAGTTATTATCCTGAAACTAGAAAAATATCAGCATATAAAAAAACACCAAAAATTTTATTTTAGTTGAAATCAAACAAAGTTTAATTTTGGACCCTTCAAACCTTAATATAGACTACTTTGAAAACAGGGCCAAAATAAAAAAACTGAATGCATAATAAGATTCAGCATATTAACAGCCTCAATAATTCAGTTTTTGATGAAATCAAACAAAGTTTAATTTTGGACCCTTTTGACCTCAATGTAGACCAATTCATAATGGGGCCCAATATCCAAAAAAGTAATACAAGGTTAGAACCCCCAAAAATTTAAGACTTAAAATTAATCCCATTGAAATTGGTTAAAAGATTTGTATTTATTTTCAATTGAAGATTTCTTGCTATTGTGCAATACTGTGCAATTGGAGATTTCTTGCTATTGCGCAATACTGTGCAATTGAAGATTTCTTGCTATTGCGCAATACTGTGCGATTGAAGACTTCTTGCTATTGTGTAATATATACTGTGCACTTGAAGGTTTCTTGCTATTGCGCAATACTGTGCTATTGCTCAATACTGTGCAATTGAAGATTTCTTGCTATTGCGCAATACTGTGCTATTGTGCAATACTGTAATATTGCTCAATACTGTGCAATTGAAGATTTCTTGCTATTGCGCAATACTGTGCTATTGATCAATACTGTGGTATTGTACAAAACTGTGCTATTGCGCAATACTGTGCAATTATTTGAAATTTTAAAAATTTTGAAGAAAAAAAATATGAACCCCCCAAAAAAAATGGAAAAAAAAAATCCCCCCAAACTTTTTGAACCCCCCCTCTGGGAGAAATTACCCCTACTCAATCCCAGCATTCCCTTTACGGTATGGAACCATGTAGTACAATTTTAGAGAGATCCATACACTTAAACACAAGTTATTGTCTGAAAGCTAGAAAAGTGCTTGATTTTGGAATGCTTGGAACGCTGAACCCAGAAAAACGGGGGAAGAAATTCTCTTAAATTATTTTCTATTGTCTACAAGTGAACCTGAATCAATAATAATTCATTATTATGCTTGCACGGAAAAAACGTGAAATAAGACATAATTTCACGTTGAACGTGAAATAATTTCTGTCATGAACGTTGCACGAAAAATAAAGACTTTGATGTGAACCTTTTGTGACTGAGTCACTGTCTTCTTGTATATATAAACTCTCTGTTTTACTTGTTATTCCCGATTTAGTATACACATTTATGATATAAATGGTTTACGGCTTTTAAAAAAGTATTTCTTGACGATCCCTGCCAAATGTTTGAATTTTATTTGAAAAATGCCGAGCACGTAAAATAAGCATTTGAAAATCACGATGCACGTAAAATTAAATAAGCAGAATACGTTGAAGGAGGCCTTTGTCATGCACGACTGAACGTCAAATAAAAAAGTAAAAACACGTTGAACGTGAAACAAAAAACGGCGCCGATCACGTTGCACGAAAATAACCCTTTACCACCCTCAGATATGTGATGAATAGCTGAAAATTGAGGTTCCACAGGGAAATGATGGTATGTAGGATAGGAATAGTAATCGTTGGGTCACCTACTAATATAACATCCCCATTTTCGAATGAAAATAAATATTTTTAGATTAGTGCTTCAATTATCAAAACGGATATAAAATGTATTGAAATATTGTATGGCAATACAAGTATATATATCGGGTAACATTTTATACAAAAAAAATCTTAACTGAGAATTCAATCATGGTAGTTTGTGCCTTAAATAAATTTTCCAGCGGTTCTCTTTTAAAGTAAAGCGTGTATTGTGAATATTATTATTTCGCGTTATCATGTATAACAGTTACCTTTTCTATGATTATTTATTAGGAATGCAATTATTATTTGAGATATTCTGATTGAAAGATGTATGGAAAAAAAACGTTTAACAAATTTGAGGGGGGTAGGAGGGGTCCTGATCCAGAAATCCCGGGCTTAAAAACATGGAATCCCGAGGTCCCGAATTTTAAAAAATTTAAATCCCGACATCCCGAAATTCGAAAAAAGAATTCCCGGATCCCGAAAGGATCAATCCCGAAATCCCGTGCTTAAAAACACCCGATCCCGGAGTCCCGATAAAGGTCCTACCCCCCCTCAAATTTCTCGAAAGTTTGGAACATTTTACATGAAAATGACGAACTACATAATTAGTAAACACGTTAAATAAGTTGATATTATAGTACTAGCAAACTTATGATCCTGTATCATTTGTTGACATCCGTTTTAAGTATACAAAACATGCATTTTATTCAGTTTGCTTAATTCCCGCCAAAATCGTCCTTTTGGCACCGTCTTTTGACGTTGTCAGTGCCCCTCAGTATACACCTTATCGCTATTTGTCCACCATTACTGGACATCACACAAGTTCCCGTAAAATTTTGACGTCATAATAGAAAATATCTGACGCCACAATGGAAAAGTGATTGTTGTGTGACGTCAAAAGTTCGAGCGGGACAGATTCTCGGGTCAAGCGGGAATAGCGATAAGGTGTATTGTGACGTTACCATGGACCTTTGACGTTCTACACAATCAACAAGATTTGTGTGTAGAATGTCATAAATGTGCCTTTGGCAGCAAGAGTAGGCGAACGACAAGGTAAGAACAGGCAGACTTGTATGCTCTATGGTATTTTATTTTCTAGATAAATGGAGAGGGAATTAAAAAAATATATATATTTTATTATTTAGTCTCTTCGCTTTGAATTATCAATAACAGGTATTGAAGTAAAGGTTTGTACTATATACTTACGGATCGTTCGAATCAGTTGCGTAACACCTCGCGTAACACACACACAGCTTGTTTATTGATATTTTGCGTGATATTATTAGTTACATAGTGTGCTAGTGACCTAATACGGTATATATTGGGTTAGTAAATTCCTTATGGGGTGACTGCAGGGTTCGACACTAACGCGAGTCCGCTAGCCTGAGGCTAGTAAAAATTAGGGAGGGCTAGTAAAGTTTTCATCACAGTAGTCCGACGGGCTAGTCAAAATTTTGTTTAAAACTAGGAATTTTACAAAATTTTAATTGTCAACAAATCCCAGATTTTTGCTGACCTTTGCTGTCTTTATTGTATTATTTTATTTATATATTTTGATTGTCAGACATTTTTATAACATGAAAGGTACTTTTTGATGAGGGGAAAGAAACGGAAACAATGATGGTACTTAATACATTGAAAACCACGTGTGTTACAAACGCCGTGATGATTCTAATTAGAAACCTGGATCTCAAAAGTGCTTTCATAATATCAAAATAATTACCAGTCGGAAAGCAAGCCCTTAGAAACGACCGTTGTTGCTACTTTCTTAAGACAACAATGGGACTGATATTAAAACCCGCCATTCTGAAATTGCGTTTATTTCGCGGAAAAAATAATTTGGCGCCAATTTGGAATTTTTTCTTTTTTCTGTTTCTTTCTTGCCATTAGGGTCAGAAATAGATTTCTTTCGATTTTTCAAGCATGGTTCTTATTATCAAAGAAAATAGTACTTAAACATGTTATAAATTGTCCGTCTTTTAAAAATAGCGTAATGCCTTTGATCGTCGTTTAAGAATTATGCGAAATTATCTATTATTTTTTTCTTCTTTTTTTTCCAGATAAACAAAGAATATACAAACTATTTGAAAAATTAATAATAAGTATCTCAAAGTTAAAAACAAAAATCAAGTCTAACGTTCTATCGCCCCTTAGGAAACCCCGTTCGAACTAAATTCCAAACGAAAGACATTTTTTGACATTGTAGTTTTTTTATCTTACACATCGATATCAACTTGCATCTTTACACAATGTACACACATTTAGTGTGTTTGTTTGAAAAAGCAATGGCGAGTTCAGCTGTGAATAGTTGACTGGATTAATTATTCTCTTTAAGTCAGTGAATTGTCTGACTTAACTAAAACAAGGTAAGGAAATCGTATACTGTCTTTACACAACCTTAACCAAAACTCATTCATCGTTTATAATATTATAAAAAAATTTGTGATGAAGTAATCCTGCAAAACTGCCAAAGGTAAATGAAAAAGTCTTGTCCTAAATATGAACTTAAAACAATCTCTTTCAGACTAGCAATTAATCACTCTTATTCAAAGCATGTTCATACTGACATGAAGTGTGACTTACTTATGACTTGTGAACTAAAACATAATATTGTTGACTTAGCACTCAGAATCTGCTCTGAAATACTTTTATATAAATATAAATATGCATAATTGTTAAAAAAAATTAAATAGAAGAAAAATATTAGACCCAGTCTTTTTTGTTCTTATCTATTTTCAAGTTCATGATTAGAACCATTTATTTATTGGTTTAGTGTTTTTTTTTTTTTTATAATTTGAGTCCATTCATTAGAATCTGCATGGAATCAGTGAGACCAAATTTATTGTTATATTTAGTTTGTTCATACAAGAATTGCAAACTAATTTCCTTTTATTTCAAATAATGAAGAATTTACATTCAGAATACTTTCATTATGGTCTCGTTTAAGTTTAAATGAAAAAAGGTAGGATCCGGTATCAGTAATGAAAAGGAGTTCCTGTATTTGATCATTTTAGTCCTGTCTTGATCCATTATTCATGAATATTTTGGCTACCCCTTATATGATTAAAGTAGAAATTTATTTCTGTGTTGAAATAATTTGGTTACAGCAGTATAAATACTTACCAAAATATAAATATTAAATTAACTCTTGGAATAATAATATTATGGCACATACTGACATAGGGCCTATTTGAGTATTTCACTGAGACTGAGTTCTGAAAAGTGATAAAATGTGTTTCGCTAATTTTTTTGCACATGTCTTTAGTATCAAAATATATTCAATAAAATTAATTTAATAATATCCTCATGTAAATAACAGCATATGGTGCTTAATATAATAATAGTTTGATCATGAGAGTGTCAAACAAAGGGACGTAACTCGTAAATTACTATCGGCCCCGCTTCGTCAGAAATATCGACACATCGAAGTGGCACATTTGCGTATTACAGCGTACTAAGTGGCACAAATTTGACATATCATAGTCAAAGTTATGTTACATAACATAATTTAAATTCAGCATAGCTTCCTGAGAAGTTAAGAAAGAAAATTACGATTTTAATTTCCATTGACCGATTTTTTTGGTCAACACCTAGACTTTGAAGACACATTTTGAGAGAAAAAATTAGTTTAATCCATAATTGAGTTGATCAATATATTTCTTATATACTCAAGAATGTTCACTTAAAAGCAAATTAGTTTTAATTCATGCAAAAAACTACAAATTCCAAAAAACAGGCTTCACTTTTTTTGGTAAAAAAATGCCCATATGTGGTAATCACATGACTTCCATTGTTGCTTTAAGAAATGGGGTCAAACCGGGGTCAGCTTTCCGACTGTACATGAATACGAAATTTACATACATTACTACCGATACCATCACTGTTTGGGGAAAATGTACAACTTATTGGGAGGAATTTTAATCCATTTTTTATAGTAATTGGGAATTTTCTTTAGGGGAAAAAGCTGTATTTCGAATGTAATTTCAGTCGAACAATATCACTGAATTATTGTCATAAAAAAAAAATTATAGGTCTCTGCAAGGATTTGTATACTATACAATTCCTTGTTCTCTGGTAAAAATATACAGATTATTAGGAATAAAATCTTGTCCTGCAAAAAGAAATATACTAAAACAACAAGGGAAAAGAAGGAGTCGATGAAGAATTATGACAAAAAACAGCAAGGGCAAACCTTTCCTCTTTTGTGGGTGTATTTTTAAATCCCTAACTTATCCATCTTCATTAAAGACACTAGCAATAATGATGAAGTAATGATCTAAAGGGGTCTTCAAAATAAGTCAAACACATTCTTAATAGGGCCTATAGATGAATAAAATATGAGAAAAAAAATTTGTTGGTATTTTTTATTAGCAAACCAGTGAAATTTCATGAAACTAAATATGTTCAAAACCCTCTGGAAATGCTCCAGAACACAGGATGGCACGACCGTCGGCACTTGGAGGGCTAGTGTATCGACAAGAGGACTAGTAGAATAATTTCACTAGCCCTGCAGGCTAGTACATACAATAAGTTAGTGTCAAACCCTGGTGAGAGCGAAGAAGTTGAAGAAAAAATGCCCCAAAAAATGCCCAAATATGGTAATCACATGCCTTCCATTGTTATTTAAAGTTTAAGAAATGGGATCAAACCGGGGTCAGCTTTCCGACTGATTTTGATAGGTCACTAATCTAAATTTCACACTTTTTAGAAGTTCTCACATAAAAATTGTTTTCATTAAGCGTACTGAATAGTGAATACACCTTATCGCTATTTGTCCGCCATTACTAGACATCACAGAAGTTCCCGTAAAATTATGACGTCATAATAGAAAATATCTGACGCCACAATGGAAAAGTGATTGTTGTATGACGTCAAAAGTTCGAGCGGGACTGATTCTCGGGTCATGCGGGATTAGCGATAAGGTGTATTAGAATACGAAGCCTTCAAACCAAAGGTCGTCACTCGTCGTGTCAAGTTTTTTCAACACATCAGTTGAAATTTCTTTCTTAACTTCTGGGGAACCTATGCTGAATTTAAAATATGTGATGAGGCTTTTTATAAACTGGCCCGTGTCAAGATTGTGCCACTTAACACGCTGTAATACGCAAATGTGCCACTTCGATGTGTCGATATTTCTGACGAAGCGGTGCCGATAGTAATTTACGAAATACGTCCCTTTGTTGACACTTTTCATGAACAAACTTATAGGTACTATCAAGCACCATATGCTGTTATTTACAAGTGGATGTTATTAAAATAATCTATTATCTTTTTACTAAATATATTTTGATTTTAAAGACATATGTAAAGCAATTAGGTAAACACATTTTATCATTTTGACAACAATTTCAGAACTGAAATAAAGGGCTTTAATATTACAGTAACAGTCAGAAAGCTGACCCCGGTTTGACCCCATTCCTTAAAGCAACAATGGAAGTCATGTGACTACCATATTTGGGCATTTTTTGGGTCATTTTTTCCTCAACTGAAACGACTCTGTTTCCTCCAAAAAGTCATATCAAATGAAATCAAAGCATGCTGTACGTTACAAATGCCAATTGTGTATACTTTTTAGAAGTTCTCACATAAAAATTGTTTTGATTAAACGTACTGAATTAGAATACAAAGCCTTCAAACCAAAGGTCGTCACTCGTCGCGTCAAGTTTTTTCAACACATCAGTTGAAATTTCTTTCTTAACTTCTGGGGAACCTATGCTGAATTTAAAATATGTGATGAGGCTTTTTATAAACTGGCCCGTGTCAAATTTGTGCCACTTAATACGCTGTAATACGCAAATGTGCCACTTCGATGTGTCGATATTTCTGACGAAGCGGTGCCGATAGTAATTTACGAGTTACGTCCCTTTGTTGACACTTTTCATGAACAAACTTATTGGTACTATCATATATATTATTATTAAAATTATGCACCATATACTGTTATATACAAGTGATTATTATTAAAATAATTTTACTAAATATATGTTGATACTAAAGACATATATAAAACAATTAGGTAAACACATATTATCACTTTTACAACAATTTCAGAA